TTATCATGCATGTGGCGCCAGTAAAACATCACATGGCATATTGCCGCTAGCAATACACGAAGAGTAGTCTAGGAGTACATGCCAGGACACACCCTCTACGCACTCTCACTAGAAGGATATACTACCAGAGTCTCGTCGGGATAGCTAAGCCGCGCAAGATACATCCCATGCACACAATGGGCGAGACTGGGACTTCCAAACCGAGCTATCCCCAAGGACTAATCCCCAAATCTTTTACACTAGGGGTTCTTATCTGGCAGTGTATTCCATATCGTACCCTTAAAACATTTATGCAAATGATGCATGTCAATCAAGACTCTATGCATTCTCATATCACATTATCATTTCCCATGGTCATATCGCATCATCACATTTCGTCATCACATTTCATCATTACATTTCATTATCACATTTCATTCACAATCTTCATAGAGCACTTTATTTCGTATTAAAACTCATCTATTTGCATAATTAAATACACATTTATACATCTTATACAACAAGGAGTACAACAGAACAATCAGAAGGTAAAATAGAAATTATTGAAAATATGTCTATTTATCATAGGGTTCTCTCAAGAACCCACAGAGCACTCTAAATCATATCAAAACTTGTTTATTTTCAAAATTAAACACATATTCACACATCTCTTTTAATAGGGAGTATAACGGAATAGACAGAGCGCCAAACAAAAATATTCCTATTTTGCCTGCTGCTCATAGGGTTCTCTCAAGAACCCATAGAGCGTTCCAATTTATGCAATAAACATTTAAATAAGACAATTCACGTATATAATTATTATCACAATTAATTTACTCATACAAGCACCAATGCACCCCCTTAAGGCTTCCCGTAGGAACCCATAGAAGCACCAAATTCCACAATCATAGCCTAAACAATGTTTCTATTCATACACGCATATTAATTAAGTAATTGGAACATACAAGAAAAATATGACATACAACAAACACAGGATTGGGAGCCAATCCCACTACCCATCATACAATCCCACACCCAAAGTGAGGTTTCTCACTCTCCCCCTTACCTCGATAAATAGGGGTTGAAACTGAAGCAGGATCTCCTCCTCCGAGTTCCCCTTGGTCTCCAGAAAGTGTAGAAGAAAAAGGTCAAAAGTGCAAAAAATGCGTTTTTCTGGAGTGCCGAAACGCATTTATAGGCATCAGGATTTGGCCAGAACGGCCTATTCCGAATCCGAAACGGCCTGTTCTGAGCCCATAGAACATGCACAAAAGCCTCTCCAAGAACGGCTCGTTCCAAAATCAGAATGGTACGTTCTGAGTCAATACTTTGTTCTTTAAAACCACATCCGGAATGGCCCGTTCCCAAAGTGGAACGGCCCGTTCTAGGTTGAAATTTTACGCATGGATGCTCGAGTTGGAATGACTTGTTCCCAAAGTGGAACGGCCCGTTTCGGGGCTATGA